CTATAGAGAGTGAGACGTTGGCAAAAAACGAGTTCTAGATTATACACAAGGACATATGTCCTACTGAGTTTTTGTTGGGCCATTATAGTTATTTGGAAAACGTGTCAATTCGGATAAGTGAGTACAAAGTGAAGCCACAATAAACCAGTCGTTATCCACATCAAGCCAGATAACCGTTATTGCGTAGAAACAAAATTCTGCGTTACTTCATAGGAGCTTGCTCCCATTTTGTAAATAAAAAATAAATAAATAAATATACAGCCAACCAACCACTACAGTTATGTTTTAGTAGTTAAGTAGTTGGTATATTTTTTTTTCAATATTGTTGAAACACCGGTAGCAAGCTTTGCATCTTGTTCTATACTTACAAAACTTTCTTTTAAAAGGACGCATTCAATTATGATTACCCAGTAGTCCGTTATACCTGATAGGGGACCCAGTGTACTCCTTATTGTTTTAAGTTTATCATCTTTTTGCAATGCGGTGTCTTAACGACTGATTTCTTCAAAATAAGCAATATGGTATGCAACGACACAAGTAGTTTAAAACCCAGTACGTTAAGTTTTTTGAGCAATCACGATCCCCCAAATTATCTTTATCGCAATGCGTTTAAAACAATTTCAAAACAACACTATTTGGCAACCCAAGCACAGAGATAGACAGAGTACAAAAACTGTCCATAAAGAATGCTGAATAAACTCCTTAATTATTACGTGTTGTTAACGAATTGAAAAATTGATAAAAATCCAAGTCCATTATCTTGCAGGTATTTATAAACGTGATCTACCCTTTAAAACTGAACTACATGAATATGAAGCACGGCTTATTAAAAATGTGTCGCCCTGTCAATGATAATTTTAAATACTGATGTAAATTTAAGCATTTAACGATCTTCAAGATACTAGTACTTCAAGCTAATGCCATTAAAGAAATTCCAAACAAAGCAATTGAACTAGACGTTTTTTTTCATCGAACAGAATAGTCACAGAATAAGACGCTTTCCATCGAACACCCATCACCAGTACAAGTTTTAAGTATATATCAGTAGGTAAAAAACAACAAAGTAAAATTACATCACATAAATGAGTACTCATCATAATCTTCATTTTTTAATATTTATCTTTGTTCTTTTTTTTTTATTTATTTATTTATTGGAATGGGGAAAGCAGTTTGCTGCACCATATTTGAAACAAGAGACCAAAAGGCCTAGACTGGCTCTTCTAATAAATTGTACAACCCTATCACTTCTATTCTTAGCCTCTTAGTAACCTAAAATAAAGCCTTGAAACTCCAAAAGTAGGTCACTATGACTTACTTTTTGGTAAACAGACATTGAGAACCAGTCTAAGCCCCGTATCATCTTATATATTCAGATTCCAAAAGTAGGACACAGTGACCTACTTTTGGATGATACAATTAAAAACAAGGACTGGGTAAACTAATAATATTTAGGACCTTAAATATTGAGATACAACAGTAACCTACTTTTTTGTTGACACAGTTCATTGACCTAGGATGCTTCAACTGACAACTTTGATGAATTTAAGCATCCTATTATTATTATTCTTAATATTTAGATAAAAGTGCGAAATTCCAAAAATAGATCACAGTGACCAACGTTTTAGTCGAAATATTCCAAGGACCCAACATCAACCAAAAATGTTTTGATTCTAAGCCTCCAATTATTTGAAATATTTAGATACAGCCATGGAATTCCAAAATTAGGTCATAGTGTCCTACTATATGTTAACATACTCTGAGAACCAAGATGCGTCAACTGACAAAGTTTGATGATTCTAAGACTCTTTTTAATTTGAAATACATGTATTCAGATAAAGCTCTGACATTCCAAAAGTAGGTCATATGACCTACTTTTTAGTTGACACACTCTGAGGACCCATGATGTATCATCTGACAAAGTTTGATGATTCTCAGCACATTATTATCGGAAATGTTCAAAGATAGCCATGAAATTCCAATGTAGTTTACAGTAACCTACTTTTTGGTTTAAAAACTCGAAGGACCAAAGATGCATTAAGCGAAAGAGATTGATTCTAAACCTCTTATTATCTGAAATATTTATATATAGCTGTGAGGTTCCAAAATTAGGTCACCATGACCTACTTTTTGGTTAACATACTCCAAGATCCCAAGATGCATCAACTGACTAAGTTTGATGATTCTAAGCCTCTAATTATTTATTTAGGTATTGCCTCAAAATTCCAAAAGTAAGTCAATGTGACCTATTTCCAAGTTGATACATTCAGAGGACCAAAAATGCATCAACAGGTCAAAGTTTTTAGATTCAATGTCTATTTACATCTAAAATATTTAAATATAGCCATGGAATTTAAAAATTAGGTCACTGTGACCTACTTTTTAGTTTACACACTCCGAGCGAGAACTCAAGATACATCATCTGACTAAGTTTGATGATTCTTAGCCTCTTATTATTTGACAAATTTAGGTATTGCCTAAAAATTCCAAAAGAAGGTCAATGTGACCTTCTTTTTAGTTGACATATTCCAAGGACCCAAGATGCATCAACTGACGAAGTTTGATTGATTGATTGTATGTTGTTTTACGTCCCATTCGAGAATTTTTCACTCATATAGAGACGTCACCATATGCTGGTGAAGGGCTTCAAATTTTGACCTTTATTCGGCACTCAGGGCCATTGAGCAGTGAAGGATCTTTATCGTGCCAACGCCTGCCGTGACATGGGGCCTCGATTTTTAAGGTCTCGTCCGAAGGACCCGCAACTTTCACTTCAAAGTGCCGAGCGCATGGCGAAGGAACAGTTGCTACCCATTTTTTATCGACGTAGGTCAGTCGCGGCCGAGATTCGAACTCACGACCTCCCGATCACGGAGCGAGCGCTCTACCGACTGAGCTACCGTGAATGGTTGACGAAGTTTGATGATTCTAAGCCAATTAGAAACTGAAATATTTAAAACAGCAAAGAAATTCCAAAATTAAGTCATTGTGACCTACCTTTTGGTATACACACTCTAAGGACTCAAGATATATCAACTTGAAAAAGACGTTAATGGTAATCTAACTACCAAGCTTTATGATAAACGTGATGACTTTTAACTTTTCAATCGTCAACTTCCCTTACTTATGCAACAATATTCCTTCATCACCTGCATACGGGGTTTATATCTCTCAGTTGATTCGATACACAAGAGCATGCTCTACGTATGTACAATTTCTAAAACAAGGTTAATTATTGACAAACAAGTTGATGAAACAAGAATATCAGCAGTCTCGTTTAAAGTCATCATTTCGTAAGTTCTATGGTCGATACAATACCTTGTCAGCAAATACAATTTATCATTGAGTCAAATGCTGACTGACGTTTTTCATACTAATTGTTAGGCCATTATTTACACACTGAATTGTCGACGGATTTTTCCGTTAATTCCCGATCATGACAAGGAGCACACGGCGGGTGTGACAGGTCGGCAGGGGATGCTCACTCCTCCATGGCACCTGATCCCACCTCTGATGTTTTGGAGGTCCGTGTTTGCTCTGCTCGTATTTTGTATTGTTTAATGGAATGCTGAGCTTGTATACTGTTCGTTATCTCCATACATTTTACAGCCAAAAATCTAAGTTGAAAAGTGCCGAAATTCCAAGAAAAATAACGGAATCGGGATTTCCTGGCAATATGCACAACTACACACTGTGTCCTAAAAATCTGCAAAGTTTGACAAAATTCTGTGCAGCGGTTTAAAGAGGAATTACGCTGACAAACTGTTCATCTCTATATTAAAGATATGGCCAAAAACATATGTTGAAAAGTGACGAAATTCCCAGAAAAAAAGGAATCGGAATTTCCTGGTAATATGCAAATCTACACACTGTGACCTAAATATCTGCAAAGTTTGATGAAATTCTGTGCAGCGGTTTAAGAGGAGTTGCGCTGACAAACTCATTATCTCTATATTCAAGATATGACCAAAAATCTAAGTTGAAAAGTGTCGAAATTCCCAGATAAATAATGGAATCGGAATTTCTTGGCAATATGCACAACTACACACTGTGTCCTAAATAACAGCAAAGTTTGACGAAATTCTGTGCTGCGGTTTAAGAGGAGTTGTGCTTACAAACTGTTCATCTCTATATTCCAGATATGGCCAAAAATCTAAGTTGAAAAGTGCCGAAATTCCCAGAAAAATAATGGAATCGGAATTTCATGGCAATATGCACATCTACACACTGTGTCCTAAATATATGCAAAGTTTGACGAATTTCTGTGCAGCGATTTAAGAGGAGTTGCGCTGGCAAAAAAAAAAAAAAAAACAAAAACAAAAACAAAAAACTGACGGACTGGCTAACGGATGGGTCAAAAATATTATTCCCCCAGCAACTTGTTGCGTGGGGTACAATAATGACCTTTATTGTTTTGAAAATGGTTAGCCATAAAATTCAGAAACTTGGCCAGGTGACAAGGCCCCGTGAAGCACAAACTGACAATTTTGATAATCATAGGCTTCAAAGTGTGCATGATATGCATCAAAAGCAAACTAAAAATGAATACCTGCAAAATTCAAAAAGTGCCATGATCTACTTTTGAGTCAACATGACATGAAGTCATAAGATGCTTCAACTGACAAGATCTGATGATCTTAGTCCTTATAGTGGTAGAAATATCAAAGTTTTAACAAAACATAATTTTTGGTCAAGTGACCTTGAGACCAGGCCTTTTGAACACAGGATGATGCCTGGGACAATTTTTAATCTACAACATATCTTCATCTTTATGTAAAAGTCTGGTGAAAATCTGCCTAGTGCTTCTAAATTCTTTAGCAACCACTACTTTTGTTTTTATTTCCCTAATTAATTCCCCTTGTTTAAGGGTCACATCACTATTTTTAGTATAAATAAGAGTCCTTAACCTAGGATACTCAGTGACAAAATTGAAAAGAATTGGCCGAGGGGTTCTTGAGATATAGCCCATATTCCAAAAAGTTGACACACATCCCACAAATGGCCATAGCATTAGCTCTTTGAACCCTTGTCTCAGAAGAGCTTATAGGTACAAAAGCAGCTTTTATTTCCCAGAAACATTTTAGCAGTTGGATTTTCCTGAAATTCTCAGCACCAATAGTCTGATATTAATTCTATCAGTTTTATATGCAACACCTTTATAATATTTCACATCTCTTCACAAGCTTACCACTCATACTAGTATTTCACTTATCTATCTCACATCCATGTACATGCTTATATCACCACTCACATCTCATTTATCTATCTCACATCTCTGTACAGGCTTATATCACCACTCATATCTCAGTTATCTATCTCACATCCCTGTACAGGCTTATATCACCACTCATATCTCAGTTATCTATCTCACATCCCTGTACAGGCTTATATTACCACTCACATCTCAGTTATCTATCTCACATCTCTGTACAGGCTTAAATCAACACTCGAATTGGCTCACATCTCATTTCCCAATCTCTTATCTGTATTATCTCCTATATTCTCACCTTCAGAGTTCTCTATACATTTCCACTAACTTAAATCTCTAAACCTGATTTATAACACACATATCTATGTACATATTACATCTCACTTAAATCTCTAAATCTGATTTATAATTCACATATCTAATAATTTAAATGTACATATTATATCTCACTTAAATCTCTAAACCTGATTTATAACTCACATATCTATTAACATGTACATGTTAAATCTCTATATATCATCACATTATTTTCACAATCTTCATATATCTACAACTCACTTCTCTAATATCAGTACACATGTCATCACTATGCTGTAAGATAATATCCAACAGGAGTAGGCTGTATCAGTCATTATTTTACTATACAGTCAGTATCACCTTTTCCCACCCATTACAACAAAGGGTTGTTGTTCATTTTCTGGAATGAAGACACAATTTTTTTTTACTGCAGTGTTTCTTCTTTTAAACCAAATTAAAATACACACACTGGAATCCTATTTAGATAATACAGTAACTCTTTTAAAGATTTTAAAACATACTTTTTTACTCATTAGCCAGCAGCTTCTCTTTATATAATACATGTAATACAAATAATCTCACCCATTTCACTCTCTAGTTGCTGAAGGAATGCTCCATGTGGTCTTTGTCTGGACGGTGATGTGGGTCGGTTGTCCTTAAGGTAGTTCGATATAATACCATACAAAAGAGGTCTGCAGTAGCAAGAAATATAACTAATACAGTGTCAACAAAAGCAACATCTACACTTCTTCAACCCGTAAAATCTTACAATATTGTTGGTTTAATTTTATGGACAATGTTTAAAATATTAATTGGACTTCATTTAGACAATGAATCTTTTTAAAATGATAATTTCTAGCCATTTTTTATGAAGTCATAATTTGTATCATATTTTCCATTTTATGAAAATGTCACCTATTATATGCCAATATTATTATGCCAATATTATATGCTTTTTTCTGTATTTGGAAAAGAGCACACCTCTTTTCCAAACTTTAAAAGTTTAAATTTGGTATTATAGAAATTTACTACAGATTGATGGTTGCTTTCATATTTAAAATTCTAAGTTGAATGTACTAAAATACACCGTTTTTCTATGAGATTAAAAATGGATGCAATTTCACAAACTCTACTCTTTGAATACCTAAACATCTGAAAGGAAATTTTTTATGTAATGAAAGCATGACATCTCAAGTCCACTCTACTTTTTATTCATGTTTGATGTACAATATGGTGTAATAATTCATACTTATACAAACTTTGTTTCTGTTACACCAGACACCTGTTAATGACCAGTAAATATACTCACACTGACTTTGACCGGTAATCTTCCTTGATATTTAGTTCTTTTGACAAAAATTCTCTGTCTAATGGTGTTGTAGGCTGTCCAGACTCTGTTTTGAAATGAAATATTTTAATACAGTAGAAAATACAGTTGTAGTGTTGCTAATAATCAAAACAAAAATCTTAATATCTTTTAAACCATGTTCAATATTAAGTTAACTGAAACAAAGGAGGCAGAAAAGAAGCACTGCTTTGTAGCTACCAATAATTTTTTTTTATTCTTAAGACCTGGAAATGTGTGCAAATTGTTCATATATCAATATAAACATTTTATCTGCCTACTGAATCAGAAGTGAAAAGGAAATACATGTATATTGTTTGTCAAAGGAAGAAAATGTAACAGATCAGAACTAGTTAAAGCCCAAAAAAACCTCTTCCGCCGGTTAAATCTGGACAGGTGCTCTCGCAAATCAGAACTCTAAAAGGTGCTCTAGCAACTTAGAACTCTAAACATGTGCTTTAGCAAATCAGAACTCTAAACATGTGCTCTAGCAACTTAGAACTCTAAACGTGTTCTAGCAACTCAGAACTCTAAACATGTGCTTTAGCAAATCAGAACTCAAAACAGATGCTCTAGCAAATCAGAACTCTAAACAGGTGCTCTAGCAAATCAGAACTCAGAACAGGTGTTCCCGCAAATCAGAACTCAGAACAGGTGTTCTAGCAAATCAGAACTCTAAACAGGTGCTCTAGAACTTAGAACTCTACACGGGTCCTCTAGCAAATCAGAACTCAGAACAGGTGCTCTAGCAAATCAGAACTCTAAACAGGTGCTCTAGCAAATCAGAACTCTAGAAAGGTGCTTTAACAACTCAGAATTCTAAACAGGTGCTCTAGCAAATCAAAACTCTCTAGCCATATTCCCTAGCAGCTCAAAACTCTAGACAGTTGCAATACCAACTCAGATATCCTGATAATGGTCCTATGTGTTACAGGAAAAGAGAAAATGTGACAGACCATTTAGGATATGAATACATGTACCCTGATCTATATAGACATATAAGCATGCTATTGAATAAGCTACAGAGACATGTAAATGAACCTGCATGACTGCCAAATTCATAACTGTAGAGAAAAATTATGAAGGACAAGACAATGATTTTAGTCTTGGCTTCTTCAATTCTTCAAATGTGATCTATAGCTCAGCTATCAAGCCAAAGAATATGCTTGACTGTCCCATTTTTCTTTCCATACATATCTACCTCTAAATGCACCAACTAAGTTCAAAACTAGTAAATGTCATAGGTAAAATCTAGAGAAGGAAAGACTCAAAATGTAAAATAAAGCTAAAAAATACCACAGTCAAGACCACAATCTCAATATTTATCAAATTAGCTATCTGCATATGGTGAACAAACCTGCCTAGCTATACAGTTAAAAAGTGATGTCATGAATTTTTATGTCGTGGTATTCCTGAGAGAAAAATTGCTGCAGCTCTAAACAACACCTATGCAGACTGGTCGATCAGAGTTAGACTCCCCAAAGAGAAAAAAACTGATAAAGTATTTAAAACTTTTCCCATCACTTTTTCTGCTGATTTTCACATTCCCACATTTCAGGAACTTACCTGCAACCAACACAGAAGAGGAATACTTGTACTTGTTGAAGTTTAAATACTCTCTGATTAGTTCATTGATGATCATATTTTCATTACTAAGAGGTGGTTTCACTTCACTCTGGTCATCTAAAGCACTGAAAACTTCTGCCCTGATCCTGGCCTTTATCTGACCAAGTGCACCTCGGTTCTCAAGAGTTTCTTTGATTACTGCAAAACAAAATATTTATATCTGTATAACCATTCAGTCTACATTGATTTAACTATGACCTGATATCTTTATCCTGGTTAAAAATTATATAATAAAATTGTCTGAATATCTATGTATGTAACTAGCTTTCAACTGAAATAACTATTCATTTAAAATAGTACATGTACTCTTTCAATCAGGTAAAATATGTAGATATAGGTACATGTATTTAATACTACATATTAACATGAATACCAAGGACATGCGTACCTGTTTCTACAAAAAAAATTGACTGCTGGATTGACATTTTTTTGTTGTTGCATTTGTTCTATTAAAATACATAAGATTTTTTTCTGTTCATTTTTGTTGAAAATTCTACACTGAAGACAAACATAAATAAATCAAATGTTCTCTTTTAGATATATCTGATCTCATGCAAATTTAATGAAAAGATATTATCGTTAATATTTAATATTTGTCACTTTTTAATATTCCATATACAGTTGAACTTTGGTATCTCCAACACTCATATCTCGAATACCATGGATGTCACAGTAATTTGGAAGTTCCAACCCCTTATTTTTTAAGTATTTTACCCTGGATATCTCGAATTTTTTTCTCGGTCCCACTGAGTTCAAGAGATAACAAGGTTTGGTTGTACATGCATTTTTTGTTTTTTTGACTGTGTGAATGGAGTTAAAAATATACCGGTAGTTTATGTTTGTTTGAGGATTTTTATAAATTTTGACAATGAGTACAAATATGGTTTATATGCATAGAAAGTCTCATGCGAGCAAATGTTTATGACGTTTGATATGCACATATAAATACCATGCATTTCACTAGCATGTTCTTAAACATAAATATGCCGAACTTCTGGCACTGATTTGGCACATGTATGTAGCTTGTTTTGTCAAGCGCGTCAAAACTGAATTTTAATTCTTTATAAATAATTTTTGTATGACATATTTTCCCGTTGAGTTATTTCCCTTGGCCAACATCTTTGAGGTCAAACCAGTGAATTTTCCTTTTTGAGCAACCAATTTTAAACATGTATGGCAGAAATATGAAGGATCATATTAGCAAGTGCAGCGAGCTCAATAGACAAATGTGTAAGAACAAAAAAATTTGGAATGAAAACGTATACTCGTCAGGCAAATTTCCCTGTGCAACCTTCCCAGAATTCCTTCGCTACCAGGATTCCATGCAATTATAGCGAATAAACAGTCCCACAGTAATCATGTACTAAGATTTACATTCTTGCAGAGAGCTTAAATGAACCAAAAAATGATTGCATGATTTGCATTTACTCTACAATGCCTTTCGTTGCAAAATTGCAAAGGGCCTATTTATACTCAGTTACGGAAAAGCAACATACATGCATGAAGATTGAAGTGGCCAAAATTTAAAGAGTAAGCTACGTCAAGGTTTCTTGTGGTAACAGTTGTGCTCACCCAAATGGTGGCACCATAAAAACATACAAAAATTCTGCATTAAAAGAGGCTTTAACAAACGCATATTCGTTAGAAAAATAGTGTTATCTAGGCTATATCTAAATGTCCAGTATGATAATTTTTAAATTGGTTGAATAATTTAGGAATCTGGGCATGTTAACCTCCAATACATGGCAGCCAACGGGAAATAACTCTTGCTAAAATCGTGTCTATCGAAAATTTTTCCCGTTGGATCATAGGTTTCTAATTTTATAATTACTAGCATCAGTGGCTAGGGAGAAAAAAATCTGTATATCATGTATGCAGAACTATTCTCTATCGAATTATATACGACATCAGCAAATTTAAGGACTTCGTAAGTTCATATATGGCAAGAAATTAGCCCTGACTTTCAAGTATGTTCATTTGTAACCAGTAACAAGGGTTACAAAAGCCTGTAACTGAGTAGCATTTCCTCAGTTATTTAATGGTTACAATGGTTACAATGGTTACAGTGGTTAAAAATGGGGACTTTATGGTACAATTTTCACTTTTTGCTGGTTACAATGGTTACAGTGGTTACAGCAGTTACACTGTGGTTAAAAAATAAGATTTTATGGTGCACAATTTTCACTGTGTGGTTACAATGAGTTCTTTAACCTGATATCAGCTTTATGAATGAAATGTGATTGGAACCTTTTCGAAATAGTATAAAATATTTTAAGTCTCTAATTAGATTTATCAATTAAATCTAATTATAAATTTTTAGTGAAACTTTTAAATAAGAAAAGATATTAAAGGGTAATAATTGTTGATACTTCTTTGAGTACCTGTGTCTCAAACTCTCATCTACATTTTGTGTGTATACCTCAAGTTTGTGAGGTTAGTCCAGTCATGGAGAAGGTATTACAGGTAACAAAATCCAGGCATCCAATCAAATGCCTTAACCACCTGCAGTATTCGCAGCCACTCTGAGAAAGCAATCAGATACCAATACTGTGTCAGAAATTGCAGCTGTTTTGTGAACTGTTCTTGATTTTGGAATGAGATTTACCTCAAGATGGGTAAGTTTGTTTTTCAGTATTTTTTCTTAACTTTTAAGATATGGAGATTATCATGTATTATTACATTCTTCTTAGATTTTCATATCAATTGATGCAGTTGTAAATAGTTTATAGTAAAGAGGGATAAATGAATAAACATTTTTTTTATTTATGGGTTGGGAATTTCAGTTAAAATCAGACTGTTCAAACTTGTTAAAAATTAATAATCGCATAATTTTAAGACCCAAAAACCAAGAAGAATTCATTTGTTTGGACGTATGATCATTTTCAGTTAAAAACAAGCCACTTAAACTTTGTTAAACTTATGTTTGAATAATTTTAAGACTCCTAAACAATTATGAATTCTTTATCCACCATTTGTTTGGATGTATGGTGATTTCAGGTATAAACTTGTTAAACTCATATATACCAAAAGCTATTATGAATTCTTTATAGCCATCTTTTCTTCTGATGTCTGTTGATTTCAGGTAAAAACAGGCCAATTTAACATGTTTAAGTTGCCAAACTATAATACTTGTACTAATTGCATACTAATTAAGACCCCAAAACAATTATGAATTCCTTATGTATGTTAATTTACCATATCACTAAAAAGTTATGGATTTATATATTTACCAATTGTTTTAAACTGAATGCCTACTTACACCCCCCCCCTTCTGAAGGATAGGTTATCCTGAAAAGCTAAAAAGAAAGTGCAGTAAACAAACAACCTAAACAAAAAAAAAACCCAGAACAAAATACAAACTAGATGTAACAATTAAGAAACACATTTATACAGTTTATTTAAAAAGAAAAAAGAAACATTCCACTCCTTACATGTAAATTGTAATAAGCATGTACTTTTAAACTCTGATAGTGAACTACTAACTGTTTCAATGAAGAATTAAGATTTCTGTTCCTGGAAATTAACATTTGTTACAAGCATAAGTGTATAGACATTGTTATGTGATTATTAATTGAACAAGTCAATTGTAGAACAGTTATCATTAATAAAGTTCTACTTGTTGTATGTGATAATCATAACCTTATTAAATATTCATTTTATCTAGGGTGTTGTATATAGAAATATATATTTAATATATTCATTATTTCAATTACGGATTAAAGGCATATGAAAGTTTCCAGTGAAGCTGTACCATGTGTACATGGGTGTGCTGACTTCGTTTGACACAAAAAGTCAAGTCCTAAACAAAGTCAGCATAATATATCCATAAGATTTTTAGTGATGAATATAAAAAAATATTTTTTCAAACATATGTTCATGATAATCTTCAAGGATAAGTCCTCATGTATCTGCCTTTGAAATAAAGGGAAATGGTTCCATTATTTTGGTTTTATAATGATAAATATATCACTTAGTTCCCCAAATGTTAAGAAATAAAATTCTCGGTTATGTTTGAAGCTTATACTGTACTATTGGCTCTGAACTCTTTTTTATCCCTGCACTTCTGACAAATCTTGAATAGAAATTAAAAACTTAACCTGACTGATTTTTTTTATTTCAGTTTGTAGCTCAAATACATCAAAGAATTTGTAAGATCATTGTATATTAGGGAAATTATCAGATCAATAGGTGTGCCAATTGCATCTTGAATCCTGTGTGTATATGTAACACAATCAACAATCTCTTTGAACTTGGAATTAACCTGCGACTATAGTTATTTACCTTGTGTATATTTGGAAACTTCAAAGGATTTTCCTACGTGTATAGTATACTGATATGATATTTGCAAAATATCTAAGGTATTGTTTACCTGTAAAAGGTGTGAAAAATATGGAATTTTTTTTAATAATTGTTTATATCTCTTGTCCTTTGATTTGTAGGATAGCTGTATATTCAGGAATTCTAGCTATCACTGCTGACTGCAAGCATTAGTATTAATTTGATCACTGTTTCTACAAATTAAGTTAATATTCTCAATCTTTTTGAACTATCTTTTTTTTTTTTGGTGGCACACCCAGGTAAAATGTGCCATTAATTTATCTCTCATATTAAAAAGCACTATATTTACTTGACATTTACTTGTAATTGATGTTTAAAATGAGACATTAGTTAGTTAGTTAGTTAATTGGTATATCATGGATAAAGTGAACCCTAAGCTTTTTATTTTAAAGAGAAAATAAATAATCTGTTCTTGCTTATCTGGAAAAAAATATATATATTCTGCCCTGTGAAGAACTGAAAATATTCTGACCTTCCAAAAAAGTCAAAATCAAATGGTTGTCCCCTGCATCAGCTAGGCCCTTCTCATGAAGAATGAGGCCACATGGGGGTTTTAATAGGGATTCAGCTGGTATGGACTGAGTATGTACTGTATTTAGTTTCATAGATCCTTCCAATGATACCTGATATGACTAATTCAGACTAAATAAGTCAATTATGACAAATTTACATTTTTAAACATTTCCTATCCATTGTTGTCTTTCCATTATGAATTGAAATGTGCATTATATGCATTACATGCATTTTAACTCATCAAAACTAGCAAATATAAGATCTAGAAAGAAAGGAAGAAATTAACC